AGAATCATATTGTAAGTAATATTAACAGTCATAAGCACTGGCTCTTCATGAATTTGTACCATATTTTCACCCTTAGCATTTGATGGGCTTGAGAACTGCAGTTCTCGTAAAAAACAATCCTTTGCTGAAGTGTGAATAAGAAAATTTAATAGAAAGGTATACCTCTCCAGTGTAGACATCAAAACCGCTTTTTTAAAAGTTTTTAAAAGTAATGGAAAGGGAATTCGAAGAATTTATAATGGTGTTAATGATGACAAGCCTTTCAAGACTTCTTATAATCACCCTTTTTCCTTTTCTCAGTTTGGAGACATGGAAGTACTGTCTATGATCGTTGTGGACAGAAATGTACTTGCCTGTGGGGCAGGTACAGAAATTGCTTCCGAATTAGAAAAGAATTCACAGCGATGGCATTTGGCGAACGAGTGCGATACACAAGTATTGTAAAGACTGCCTCGACTGATCGCAGATACAAAGCCCAATATGACCGTCTGATTAAAGAACACGAGAGACTGTTTCGATCGAGCATCCACGAAAAGATTTTCTTTCTTCCATGGCATCGTTGGTTCATACTAGAGTATGAAAATCTTCTTCGAAAAATCGATTGCAGATTCACTGTGGCCTATTGGGACTGGAGTGTAGATTCCAGTGATCCGTGGAGCACGCACAAATGGGAGGATGTTTGGCACAGTGTCACTGGGTTTGGCGGGAATGGCGTAGGTACGGAACGTTGCGTGAAGACTGGACCTTTCAGACATGGCGCGTGGGTACCCGTGTCATCCACGGGAGCGAAGTGCTTAACACGTAATTTCAATGGTTCACCTCCAGATGATGTCGCTGTGCAGGAGGTTGTACTCATGAACGACTTTACTAATTTTGAACTCGCGCTCAGGACTGAACTCCATGACAACGTGCACTGTCGGATCAGCGGCACCATGTGCACCGTGCAATCTGCATCTGCTCCGGAGTTCTTCCTTCACCACGGCTTTGTCGACAAAATCTGGGACGACTGGCAGAAAAGAAGCATTAGCAATAGGTTTGCTTACTTTCCTTACATTGACAGACGGATGTCAGGTACACCATATTTCCCAAAAGCGCTTATTAATCTTAGACAACAACCGGGAGGCGTTCGAGTCGAGTATCCACCGTCACAGAAAGAAAACAGGATGATGAATCGTTTGAAAGGTAAGAGGCTCAAAGATGAAAGAAGATAATAACACAAATAAAACAACTGGGGGTTAAGCAGTAACCCTGCACCGGTAGGTTCTTCGTCCACTCTTTTCCAGGTCAGATTGGAATTTTGAAAAGTTGATCTGTGTTATGGGAGAAGTTTTGGTGAACCGAGAACAACCCCCTTTGAAAAAAGAGGGAAAAAACGACCAACTCAATCCGATTTCGAAAGAAAGGCAAAGGCTCTCGAAACTAGTAAATGCTTTCTTCAGGCTCACCAAGTTCAATTTTAAAAAATGCTCAAAAGAATGACGCTTACAGACTGTGTCCTAGTGTTGCTGAACTGAAATATGGAAAATTCAAAGATGAACCAACAAAGTTTTTTTCATGGGACGTATAAATGGACTAAAATTATTAATTACATCTATTTTGAAGTTACTGGGTACCTTTCAAGCTTATTGGCACTTAGCGAGGCACATTTTTGCTTTAAATCGCTTCTTTTTCCCAGCCTATGAGAAATCAACTTTGGATCAAAACAACCCCACAAATTTCAGACGTCACAATCGGTGTTTATTGTAATTTATTTAGGGCTGGATCACTGAATTGTTAGAGCTGACCCAAGGATTGTATTTAGGTCATTGGCATCATGCAATTTCAAAGTACATGGGGTGGCACTTCGAGTCGTGCAATTATGCTCGCAAATAGTGCATAGATTTCAGACCAAATTGGACTGTGTTTAACTACCATCATTATATGTATGCATTAGACATACGTCTTGATTAGTTTGGTTTTTGGAAATAAGAAATACTTTTATTGCAGGTCTAAGTTTTACCCAGCTGCGTGCCCTTCCACGCAAGCCGTTCACGCCGCTTGGTCCAAGGGCTGTCCGCCTGTTCCATGTCAGTCAGTCTGAGGTTATCAAGGCGAAACAATTGGAGAAATTGCTTCAGCCTCGCAAGTCACTGTAATTATAACGCAGAGCTTGAAATCTCATCATAATCTGTTATTATAGACTATTCATGTATTACAATAAACGAGAAGAATGAAGTTGCTGGATAAATCTTGTTCGAGTATTAATGTGAATCTCTCTTCTATCTTCTCTCATTGATAATTCCACGGGCCTTTCATTTGAGAATTTTCAGAGACACTAATATTCAGTCTTTTAAAAAATATTTCTCTTGATGTCTCGAGAGAAATATCCAAGTAAATGGTAAATTATCTTAGGATGTTAATTCAGCGAATTTCGAAGGTAGAAAGATAAAAAATTAAAGTGCTTCAGCGACTGTTTACAGAAACATACAGACCACAATATTTTTTAAGGTTAAGAAAATGTGTAAAAGTTGGTTTTGTCAACCGAGTCTGGTAATTAAAAATTGGCTCCGTGAAGGAATTCCTTAAATTCTCAATTACGGTAGGTAATTAACGTTATGAACTCAACTTATACTCGGTTAAATTATCTGTTAATGCCCCCAGCCACGCAGCTCCATAGTTTCCATGGAAAGTCAGCTTTCTGTTAAAATATGTGCAGTTTCGTTTTGTATCTTTACTGATAGAATACATTCCAGTATGGCTATTTTTCGTAACAGACTGAGGCCAAGAGTCCCAAACGAGAAGAAGAAGTAATGGGCATGTTCCGAACCGAATCTGATTATAACTTAAACAAAACATGTGAAGGTGTAGTCTGATCGTCCGGGTGAGTGTAGTCCTGAGAAGGACTGTTGTCAGTGGTAGTGACTGACGTTTCGACAACCTGTGCGGAAGTCATCATCAGAGTCAAGTGAATGATCGTTGTTAGTAGAAAAACATATTTCCTTCTCCTGTGATTGGTTAAGAATCCCCACGTGACCTCCAAAGAACTGCCCACAAACAATGGTGCGCTTCGGCGAATAATAATGTTTAGCTGCGAAAGACACTCTGTCAAGCTTAGATATTTGTATCCCCGCTCCTCTCTGAAAAATGGGGTGTTGCTATAATGCGAGCCTGCGAGCCCGAGCCTTTTATGACGGGCCGGAGCCATTTTTTGCGAGCTCCAGGAAAATAACATCCAAATCTGGACATAATGCCTTTTCTCTGAAAAATGCCCGATAGCTTTTTTAAGCTGTGTTAGAGTGACTTGACATTTTTAGCTATAATCTTAGTTTCCTCTATGCAGTTCTCTTGCTTGTTGGTGATCATTTCCTTCCTA